CCCCAAAACCCCAAAACCCCAAAACCCCTTCTTCTGTTTTTAAGAGAATTATATTGTGCTTATATTTTGAATAAATGATTAATAGTATCATAAATTGAGAGGTGCAAATGTCTGCATCAGAAAAGCTCCTTGGCCTTTCTTAACTCTTGCTGCTTCCATTTTTTAAGATTGTAGAAGTCAGCCTGATTCATACCAAAAACTTCCTTGAAGTGCTCATCATTAAGATATGCTTCTTTCTTGGTGGGATCCACACCTTCTGGGAACTTTCCTTTGAGCTGCTCATAATCAAATTTGTTTGATTTGGGATCAAGCCATTTGGACTACTCTTTTCTCTCTTCTTCAACCTTTGTGGTGAGACCTCTTAGTAAGTTTCCTTTTAACTGCTTAACTGGGTCTTCGTCTAGCCATTTCTAAGCTTTTTCAAGTCTCCACTCAGGGAATTAAACTGTGAAAGAAGTTGTCTCTTTGCCAGCTTCAATCTCTATAATCTAGACATTACTCTTATCTCTTTCGTCTCTAACACCATCAATGTACTTCTAAGCTGATTTGTAAGCACCTCTCTTTTCAAAATCATTTGACTTGTTTCCTATCCAAACATAGATTGTTTGGTAAGCATCTAAAAGCATGATGTCATCATTCATCATGTCATCTTGAGAAAAGTTGAAGATTTCCTGTACGTAGAAGTGTCCATGAGAGTTTGAGCAGTGGAATAATCTTGGTTCAAATCCTGTAGCAATGCCAGTCTCCTTCACATTACTGTATTAAGTTTTTCCTCCTAGAGCTGACCAGAACTCCTCTGGCTCTTAGCCCTCCTTAAAAGTAATTTTCACTGGAACATGAGCAAAGATTTGTTCTATTAAAGTTTATCCAAGCTTTTCCTCAACCTCATTTGCACCCTCACCTAACCATAAATATACAGTTTGACCACCTTGAGCTACAACCAAATAAGCATCACCACTATTCAAGTTTGAGCACTTAATGTCTGGTTACTCAATAGCTCTACCTGAAGCTCCAAATGGAGCTTATATTCTAAGCATGATACCATTAGCATTAATATGATTGATTTTATCTGAGACTGGAACTCTCTTTCCTTGATGAGTAATGAAACCATTAGGGAACAATGAAAGCAAGCTCTCCTCTTCATGACCTCTTCTAACTCTGCTTCTTGTAATGAGATTTGAATTCTCATAATTTGTCACAAGATCCATATATGTGCTAGTTTAAGTATATTATTCAGCCTCAAGCTTTGGACCCATCCACATTAATACATATCTATGTTTTTTACCTTGTAGATCAATAATGTAGATATCATCTGAGTAGAAATGGCCATATTCACTTTCAGTTAACTTCACTGGGGCTCCATTTTCAACAACATAGACGCTCATATTGTAATCTTAAAGCATATCAAACAATTGCTTTGCTGCCTCTTTTTGTTTGTTTGCCATCTTTTCTATATCAAGGTTAGCAGTGTTGGCATCAAAACCTTTTGCAACACCGTAGTCTTGTGCAATGCAAGGATAGAAACCATTAAAGAAGGATTTGAAGTGAACATCCTCACCAAACTCTGGCAATCTGGTAATTCTAGTATTCTTAGGTTTGCCTTTTTGTTCAATGAAGTTTTTTGCAGTGAGCATGCCATTTTTCTTTTCTTCAAGATTTGATTTTTTGCCAATCCAGACATAAATCATATCAGGAAGTTCAAGAATGAAAGTATCATTGGTATCTAGGTGATCTTTTTTAAGAGGTCTCTCAGTGATTTCTGATAATTCAAGAGAGCCAGACTCATTTGATACCTTATAGAAATGATAAGTTTAGTCACCAGAACCACTTCCTCCTTCAACTCCCTCATCTGGTACTGCTGGATTAATGCTCTCTGGTTTTCCTCCGAGCTCTGCCCAAAATTCAACCTCTGCTTGGTCGTCTTCTCTTGGGTATAGATGAACTGGATGACCTCCTCTTTCTCTGTTCTTAATATTGAAGATAATTTCCATTCCCTTCATCTTCTCATTAACGTTACAATCCTTTCCTGGCCAGAAGTATAATTTCATTCCCTTATCTAGGACAAAAACATCGCCTTCATTCAATGAACTAGCCTGAATTGGAACTGTCCATACTCTGGGGTATCTTTTACCTTTGATAATGTATAATTTAGTCTCATAGGTCTTTGGCTCAACATGTTTAAATCCAGACTCAACACCTCCTTCAAGATAAAAGATTCCAGACTTGAAGTAAGACATAAAAAGATGTCCTTCTTCCATCATTAACTCCAAATGATGTCTCGATGCAAGTTAAAGATTTTCTGAAAGTTATACTGTGAATGCAGCAGCTGTTGCTTGTTCATCCTGTAAAGACAATTTAATGCATAACTAATCTTACCCCAGATGCAAACTTTCCATGCCAGTAGTGAATATCATAATCCTTTTCATTAAGCTTTAGGATAACATATGAATCGCCATCATAGAATTTGCCCAGGAATTGAGGATCCTATCTTACAGGCTCGAATTTCTCAATACGATAGACCTCAATTTCTTCTTTTCCGGCTACTGCAAAAAAGGCTTCAGCTTTGGCTTAGAGTTCCTTGATTTAGATATCTAATTCTTCACGTTCCATAATATATCTTTTCAAAAATAAATAAGTTTAATTAGATTTACTATCAATCGCTTCATTTATTATTTTTCTGATCTCTTTTATTAAAATCTTTGATCTTGGGGTTTTGGGGTTTTGGGGTTTTGGGG